TACTTAGCTCATGTGTTTTTAAAACAAAACTCTTTCTTTGGTTTGAGATAGTTACTCAAAACTTAGATTGAAAGCTCTCTTGGAATCGATGTTCTCTTTCTTGATCAAATGTGAAGACATTTCTAACTCTTGGGAATACTTACTTCCCATATAATATTTGAAGAAAAGAACTATAACTCTTACTATTTACTCAACTAAAAACTTAAGTCTTAAAATGAAGTTAAAACGTTTGTAAAAGGCTTTTGAAAAACTTTATGAACTTCTTTTGACTTGATTATTAACTTCTTAACTTTCGCTTGAATTAAATTTATGGATTCAAGGATTATGATTTGTGATAGGAAAGATCTCATGATGTTTAGGAGTATTTTTAGATAGTTAAACATGAAAAAAGATCAAGAAATCACTGTCTTAAAACTAGTCCGCGATGCGGACATGTATTTAAATATTTGGTCGCGAAATAAATTTTGAGGCAAAATGGTCTGTGACTGCTCCACAACGCGAGAGAGGATTTTCCCAATCTGAGGAACTTGTCGGCGACACAGGCCAGGTACCCAGATTCGCCCCACTTTTTCCTTCTTCGTTTTCCAGCCCCAATTCGCCTAAACTCGATTCTTTTTCCCAAATTCTCTTTAGATTCAAATACCTAGCAATTGTACCTAAGAACCAAACTCAAAACAACTCTATAATTCGACGTAATGATCTCAGAAACTTCTCAATCTCAGCATAATTCAAGAACGAAAACAAATTCAAGAACATCAAACTTTCAATCCTTTTAGGATGAATTCACGCTGAAATAAACATGTTTGGCACGTGGGTGAACGAACCCAATGTTATGAAAGTCTCACATACCTTGTAGGATCAAATCCTTGACGAAATCCGTAATCAATTCCTGACGAAGACGACGAAATCTTGATTTTTCTTCTCCTTTCCTCCTTTTTTCTTTTCTCTCAAAACCCTAGCGCAATTCTCAATAGCGTAAAATGTTTAGACCCTAAATAATTTACTAAAAATGGATTTAATAAATTGGATAATGAAAAGACCATAATGCCCTTTATCCTGATTGGACTTTCCTTATTTAAACAGCCCAACTTCAAATGGGCATATCTCACTCATACTAACTCGGAATCACGCAAACTCGGCAGCGTTGGAAAGATAATTCAAAGATATTTCCTACGGTATCTTGTATAACACCTAATTCATCATGAGCTATGAGTTATAGTCGTTTGAAGTTGACCAAAACTCAAACTTAACATACTTAATCACTTTTCCAGAAATTTCCTTCTTTCCAAAAGCAACTCTTTCTAAATCTAGCTCTTTCTAGTTCTTTCAAATAGCGAGATGTTACAATATCTCCCCCTTGGGAACACTCGTCCTCGAATGAGATTACTTTAATAGGCTAAGGGTATAACACCTAACATTCATCTCAAACACCCAACAAGCAATGCAATTACAACATGCCAACTTATAAATAAAGAGTACTAAGAAGAGAATTAGTACCTTGGTCTAGAATTTTTCCGGGCTCAAAGAGATGTGGATATCTCTTCTTCATATCTTCCTCAACTTTCCAAGTAGCTTCCTCAATAAACTGATTCCTCCAAAGGACTTTGACTGATGCTACTTCCTTAGTCCTCAACTTGCAAACTTGGTGATCTAGAATTTGAACCAAAATTTCTTCATAAGATAAGCTATCCTTGATACCAATATCTTCAGTTGGTATGATAAGTGAAGGATCTCCCATGCACTTCTTCAACATGGAAATATGAAATATCGGGTGAACCGCTGCTAACTATTGTGGTAGCTCCAACTCATAAACTACATTACCAACCCTTTTGGATATTCTGTAAGGGCCAATATACTGGGGACTAAGCTTCCCCTTCTTACCAAATCTCATAACACCCTTCATGGGTAAAACTTTCAAGTATACTTAATCATGTACTTCGAACTCTAACTCCCTCCTCCTAACATCAGTGTTGGATTTCTGACGACTCTGCGTAGTTTTCAACCTCTCTTGAATCACTTTCACCTTCTCCATAGCTTGATGAACTAAATTTGGTCCTATCAACCAGCTTCACCAACTTCAAACCATTCAATAGGAGATCTGCATCTTCTCCCATAAAGAGCTTCATAAGGAGCCATTTAGATGCTAGAGTGGTAACTATTGTTGTAAGCAAATTTAATAAGAGGTAGGTGATCATCCGAATTACCTTCAAAATCAATCACACAACCCCTCAACATATCCTCTAAGGTCAGAAAAGTGTATGATTTGCTTGCCCATCTATCTGAAGATGAAAGGCTACTTAAGTTCACCTTCAAACCCAAGCCTTTTTGGAATGACTTCCAAAATTGTACAGTAAATTGCGCACCTCTGTTTGAAATAATGGAGGCCATAACCCCATGAAGTCTTAACATTTCTTGAATGTATAACTTGGCATAATCTTCTGTTGAATGGGTAGTTTTTACCAGCAAAAAGTGGGCGGATTTTGTCATTCTATCGACAATCACCCAAATCGAATCATGATGCCTGCGAGACCTTGGAAAACCTATGATGAAGTCCATATTAATCATCTCCCACTTCACTTCCGGAAGTTCTATATTTTGAGCCAATCCATTGACCCTTTGGTGCTCTACTTTAACTTGTTGGCAATTCGGACACTTAGCAACAAATTCTGCAATGTTCTTCTTCATACTACTCCACCAATAAGTTTCTCTCAAGTCATGATACATCTTTGTGGAACCCGGATGAATGGAATATCTAGATCTATGAGCTTCCTTCATGATCCTCTCTTGGAGTTCATCCACCCTTTGTACACACAATCTACCTTGATACCTCAAAACACCATCTCCCCCTTGTTCAACAGCCAATACTTTTTGCTTATGAACATTTGCCTTCAATTCAAGCAAAAGAGGGTCTTGATACTACTTTTCAGGCGAACTCCTAGGCATGCAAGTCTGTGCACATCCTTTGCTCGTTCTTTTTTATCTTCCTCAAAATGGGCAGTACTACCTATAGACAACTTGCTCAAGGCATCAACAACAACATTAGCCTTACCTGGGTGATAAAGAATACTTATGTCATAATCCTTGAGTAATTCTAACCACCTCTTTTGTATGAGATAAAGCTTTTTCTGAGTAAACACATATTGGAGACTCTTGTGATTCGTGAACACATCCACATGAACACCATAAAGATAATGACGCCATATTTTCAAACCAAATACTACGGCAGCAAACTCAAGATCATGGGTTTTCCTCTCATGAACTTTCAACTGTCTAGAGGCATAAGCTATAACTTTGTCATTATGCATTAACACACAACCCAAACCAACTCTAGACGCATCACAATAAACAACAAAGCCTTGCGTAACTTCTGGTAAGGTCAACACTGGGGGAGTAGTCAATCTCTTTTTCAATTCCTGAAAGTTTTTTTTACAAGCTTCAGACCATTGAAACTTCATTGTTTTCTGAGTTAACTTGGTCAAATGGGATGAAATAGATAAGAACCCCTCGACGAAACTTCTATAATAGCCAGTCAAACCCAAGAAACTCCTAATATCGATTGGAAATGTAGGTCTAGGCCAATTCTGCACTGCCTCTATTCTCTGGGTCTCAACTTTAATTCCCTCTCCAGACACAATGTGGCCTAAGAATACCACAGACTCGAGCCAAAACTCACACTTAGAGAACTTGGCATACAACTCTCTATTTTTTAGAGTTTTGAGAACTATTCTGAGATGATTAGCATGACATTCCTGGTTCCTCGAATAAATTAGTATGTCATCAATGAACACGATGACAAATATATCTAAATAAGGCTTGAATGCTCTATTCATAAGGTCCATGAATATTGCAGGCGCATTGGTCAAACCAAAGGACATAACCAAGAACCTGTAATGTCTATAACGGATTCTAAATGTTGTCTTCAGAATGTCACATTCCCTTACTCTTAATTGATTGTAGCCTTATTTGAGGTCTATCTTAGGGAAACAAGTAGCACCCTGAAGTTGATCGAAAAGATCGTTTCCTTCTGTTACTATTATATAACCTCCTCGAAGCAAGCAAGGGAAGTGGAGTAATTGTGAAGACTAGCGTAGAAGTTACTAACTTTTTCAATTCTCAAAAGAGGATATTTATTCTTTATGGTAACATTGTTCAACTGGAGATAATCTATACACATTCTAAGGGAACCATTTTTCTTCTTCACAAATAAGATCGGAGTGCCCCAAGGTGAGACACTTGGTTGAATGAAACCCTTATCAAGGAGATCTTTCAAATGCTCTTTTAGCTCATTCAATTCTGCTGGTGCCATTCTATATGGCGGAATAGATATAGGACGTGTATCTGGAAGAATTTTTATACCGAATTCTATTTCTCTCTCAAGAGGGACTCTGAGAAGATCATCTAAAAAGACTTCTGGAAACTCTTTAACTACTGAAACTGACTGAATAGGAGGTATCTCAACACTAAAGTCATTAGCTCGGACTAAGTGATAGACACACCCTTTGGAAACCAACTTTCTTGCCATAAGGTACGAAATAAAATGACCCTTAGGCATTGTTGAACTAATTTTCCACTCTAAGACTGCTCATTTGGAAACTGAAACTTCACAACTCGAGTTCTACAATCAACTGAGGCATAACAGGCATGAAGCCAGTCCATACCTAGAATGACATCAAAATCTACCATGTCTAATTCGACTAAATCAGCCATGGTGTCCTTGTGATTAACGGAAATGACACAATCATGGTATACTCTCTCAGCAAGAATAGACTTCCCAACAGGTGTAGAAACACAAAAAGGTTCACAGAGTTTCTCAGAAAGAACACCAAAATTATTTGCAACATAAGGGATTACAAAAGATAAACTTGCTCCTAGGTCTAGAAAGCATAAACATCAAGAGTAAACATTTGCATCATAACAGTGACAACATCTGGAGAATTCTCTTGCTCGTGACAACTAGTGATCGCATAAAGGTGGTTTGCTCCGCCAGTACCGGAAGTAGTTTATCTAGGTGCAGCCCTGTCTGGTGGAGCAACTGATGAAGATTGGGCTTTATTTCCCTGATTCCCATTACCTTGCCGGTTCTTAGGGCACTTTTTCATGAAGTCACCCTCTTGTCCACACTTGAAACAACATGTGGAGCCATCGTGACACTTACCTGGGTGGGTTCTACCACACTTAGCACATACAGGATCCCAGTTACCTCCATGTGCCACACTACCTTGAGACTGCTCAGGTGTAGCTCTAAAATATTGTGAATTCTGACTATTGTACTCACATTTGTTTTTGGGTACAGGTGCACTAGCAGATGATGGAGCATGTCCCTTTTGCTTTTGTTGGAAAGAAGACCGGTTCGCATTATTTCTTGGCTTCCCGGACTCATTCCCTATCGTCTTAGCCTTCTTATTTCTAAATTCTTCTCTCTCCCTCAACTTCTCCTCTTCAACCTGCTGCACATAGACCATCAACCTTGATATATCCATATCACCTATTAGTATTGCAGCCTTACCTTCCTTACTCGATAGACGATATAGCCCAGCAACAAACAAACTCATTCTACTCATCATATTTGCAACCATTTCCGGAGCATAACGAGATAGTTAGGTGAACTTCAACCCATACTCATGAACACTTACTGAATCTTGCTTAAGGTTGATAAACTCTCGTACCTTGGCCTCTCTCAGCTCTCGGGGAAAGAAACTCCTCAAGAAGGCCTCCTCAAAACAAGCCTAACTCGCAAGTGGTGCTCCCTTAGCTCTACCCTTCTTCCACTGGTCAAACCAAATCCTAACAAGATTCTTCAGTTGATATGTAGCTAGTTCTACTCTCTCAGAATCAGCAACGTACATTACCTAAAATACCTTTGAAAGTTCCTCAATAAAGTGATATAGATCATCAATAGTGCTTGAACCAGTGAAACTTGGAGGATTCATCCTCAAGAACTCATGGATCCTCAAAGTATCAGCCTTTTCTTGTCGAGTCCCTCTTTATTGCACAACTTGGTTGGTCACAACTTGGCTTAACATCCTAATCGCTTCGCTGAACTCAGTATTGGTAACTTTTCCTTGGGGTTGCACTTCAGGTGCATTAGGTACCCCTTGATCCTGAACGTTCCTCCTAGCAGGACGACCTCGAACAACTCTTCGTGGAGGCATGATTAACTGAAAAACATGTGAATCCATTTCGTTATTTGGGTGTTGTTTACGCACCAATAAATTAGAAGAAACTTTTAGAGATCAAACTCTAACGCACGAAATGAGTATGAAAGAAGTAAGAATATTTACTAAGTGTCACAGCCTCCTAATTATAGATGTGGCGCGCTTCACATTGATAACTAGGAAGCTATTGGCATGACTTCATAGACTCCCTAGGACTTTTGAACTCTGTGCTCTGATACCAAGTTTGTCACGCCCCGAGCTTACACCATGGGCGGGACTGGCACTTGAGAACCATTATTGGCCCCAAGTGAACCCTTGGCCTGGCTTACTTACTCAATGGAAGACTTAAACATCAGAAATACCTCAAATAAGGAATTTATGAAATAGCTTAGAATATCTTTAAAGAAAACATTCAAACAACCAAAATGGCTACTCAAGTCTCATAGCAAAACATCTGCAATACAAAGCTAAAGGAGTCATAACTAACTGTCTGACTGTCTATGAAGCCTCTAAAATAAAGAGGGATGTCGGGACAAGACTCACGACATCCTAATGAACTAAATACTAAAACAAATGATAAAGAGGAGTCCTCCGGATAGCAATGATGCTCATCAACTGACTCTGAGTGCTCAACTGAATCAACGAGGCGCTGGATGATGATCCTAGTTACCTGTGTCTGCATCATAAAATGATGCAGGCCAACTGGCGTCAGTACATTGAATGTACGAGTATGTGAGGTGAATACTAAAACATAACGTAAGCTTGAAAAGAATCAGAAAGGAACACTTATATTGGCTTTACTCAACTCATGAATAACTTAACTTAATATAAAGCAACAACACACATGCAATATATGAAAAGCTTTTAAAACAGTAGAAAGCAACTCAGTTTGTTAAAGAAATGCAATAACAACTCAACTTTCTCATATAATTTCTGCGGGAGTTTCTCTAACCGACAACCACCACTATTAGCCTAAGTGGTGATACAACGTCTTGCCCACGCTGCCAGAACTGTTCTATACTTTGCCGTCATATAGGACACCTTAACTAAGTGGATTTATTAGTCTACGCTTAAAAGCCCTAAGGAATCCTCTATGGAATCATCTAACAAGTATGATCATTTATTACCCATGATGGTTACATGGTTTATGGAAACTTGAGTTATTACGAACTTGCGTCCCCATATCGGTGCTCAATACTACTCCCAAAATATACTTAGATCATGTATTTTTAAAACAAAACTCTTTCTTTAGTTTGAGATAATTACTCAAAACTTAGCTTAAAAGCTCTCTTGGAATCGATGTTCCCTTTCTCACTCAAATGTGAAAACATTTCTAACTCTTGGGAATACTTAGTTCCCGTATAATCTTTGAAGAAAAGAACTTTTACTCTTACTCTTTACTCAACTCAAAACGTAAGTCTTAAAACGAAGTTAAAACGTTTGTAAAAGACTTTTGAAAATTTTATGAACTTTTCTTGACCTGATTCTTAACTTGACTCTTAACTTTCCTTGAATTTTTACTTATGGATTCAAGGACGGTGATTTGTGATAGGAAGGATCTCATGATGTTTAGGACTGTTTTTAAATAGTTAAACATGAGAAAAGATCAAGAAATCACTGTCTGGAAACTAGTCTGCGACGCAGAGATGTATTTAAATATTTGGTCGTGAAATAAATTTTGAGGCAGAACGGTCCATGACCGTTCCGCGACGCGAGGGGGGATTTTCCCAATCTGAGGAACAGGTCCGTGATGCGGATCTGGTACCTAGATTCGCCCAACTTTTTCCTTCTTCATTTTCCATCCCCAATTCACCTAAACTTGATTTTTTCCCCAAATTCTCTTTAGATTCAGATACCCAGCAATTGTACCTAAGAACCAAACTTAAAACAACTCTATAATTCGGCATAATGATCTAAGAAACTTCTCAATCTCAGCCTAATTCGAGAACGAAACCAAATTCAAGAACACATATCAAGAACATCAAACTTTCAACCCTTTTAGGATGGATTCACGCTGAAATAAATATGTTTGGCACGTGGGTGAATGATGAGTCCACAAATTGGACTCATTGAAAGCTTTATTTTGATAGAAATAGTGTCCTCAAATGCTTATTTTGTCTCAATATCTGAAGAAAACTCTTAAGTTTCTGGTATTTGAAGTTTTAATAGAAGCATGGAGACTTAGGCACAAAACGAAACAAAAAGGCTGAAAAGAACGAAGAAGTTGAAGCCAAAGCATCGCCAAGCACACTTGACGATTCGCCGAAGGGACCCATTCCACCTATGAAAGGAGCAGTCGGCGTTCCGCTAAATAGATCCGCGAAGCAGTACCTTGTCGCCCAATGACACAGAGCACGACGATGTCAAAGGCTAGTGCAAAACGGCGACGAACTACACCAAAAGGCGAATCGCCGAGTTAATCGCCGATTTCAACTAACCTCGCCGAATGATCCACCAGCACTATTTTCTGAAGTCTATAAATACTAAAAAATTTATTAATTTTTAGGGAGTCGAATATTATTATTTTTGCTTACAATAGAATAGTACTTTTGGGTATTTTTCTCTCAAGTTTGGAGAGTGTTTTGGGAACTTGAAGCAATGAGTTCATCTTCCCCAAGTTGGAAGTGGGTTTTCTCTATTCTTCTTCCTTTGCTTAAATCAAGGTTTAATTTCTTATACTCATTTGATTTTACTATCATTTTAGGTATATTTTGTTATTTCCTGATGTGTGGCTAAAAACCTCTATTCTTGAGTATGATTTAGCAAATATGTGTTGATATTATTGTTGGGTCTTACTTGATGATAAGTTAGATGTAGTTTAATGGTGATTTCACCTAGTGGTTGTGGTTTAATCTAAAGGGTTTGTAGTTGCAAATACAAAGCCACCCATGTGTTTTTGGCTTTCCCGAGAGGGAGGTCGGAAACCAAGACCACTAGACTGATGGTCTAAGGAATGGGTCGACATGAGGTTCAGCCTGAGAGGGTGAGCCCTAGTCCCATATCCTAACACTCAGCTCGAGAGAGTGAGTGACATAAGGCGTAGGCTGGTCTTCATGCGGGAAATGGGCATCCGAGAGGAACGCATTTGAAACGGGGTAAGTTGCCCGAAAGGGAACTTATTTCCATTTAAACCTTAGCTTAGTCACTATTATCTCACAAATTTCATATCAAAAGCATGTACCTAACTATTTATCTAACTTGTATTGCGGTCACACCCCAAGAACTCTTCCCCATGCTTGATTTTCTTATTATTTTGTTGTTTTTACTACTTGTGACAAAACCCCAAATAGACACTCGTACCGTTTAGTATCATTGGTCACGATAAGTATTAAAATGGCGCCGCTGTCGGGGAGTGGTGTTACTTGAGAACTTTTAGATTAGTATAATTTTTGTTCTTCTTAGTTGTAGTCTACTAATTTAATATTTAGTTTTGTTTCGTTGGTTTGTCTGCCTCCAAATAGGGTAAGTAAGCCTGGCGAGTAGTATTCAGGAGCTAATGGAGTTTCCTCCATTAGAGGTAATGATGTTCCGCGATCGTATCCTCACCTTTAAGCAATTGGAAGGTGAAAGGATCCATGAGACATGGGCAAGATTCAACGAACTGCTAACTCAATGCCCCACTCATGGAATTCTTGGTACAATCCTCCTTGATTGCTTCTACCGAAGTCTTGGCCTCGGAAATAAGATGTTGGTTGACCAACTCCTTCCTGGCGGGATGTTAAAGCAGTCGTATACAATAGCAGTCCAACTGCTTGACAATATGGCTAAAATTAGCCGAGAGGTTGAGAAGGATTTCTTAATAACCGCATTGATGACTCAAATGGATGAGTTGAAAAGAAATATGGTGAAAGTCGAAGCTCAGTGCAAAAGGAAGGATAAATACATTCCCCCTCATAATAGAAGAAATAATGATAACATGGAGATCAAACGCATCGAGGGAATGCTCTCAAAAATTCTCCGTAAGATGACCGAGCAAGACAAAGAGCTGGAGGGATTAAAAGAAGACATCGAAGGAATGAAACGAATTATTTGGTCTCATTCCAAAGTTGTCCAACTGCTCGAGGACCTGATGAGCCATGCATTGCCTCAACTCCATCCGCAAAGAAATAAAGGGTTGCTTGATGAGGATAAGGCCAACCCCAACAATGAAACTTGAGCAATGACTTGCGTCGTGCCACGACGGTAAATAAGGCGCTTCTTAGGAGGCAACCCAAGGTTGTAAATGACTAGGTTTTTGCTTTTATGAATAATGGTGCGTTGATGTTGTAGGTTAAAGTTAAGGAATTGTAGAAAAGTGAAGATTGGCGAGCAGAAGTCCATTCCGCGAACCTCCAAGTAGGTCAGCGAGCCTGACTGAATTCACTGTTTGGCTCAATACAAGTGCTATGTGGAGCCTCTAAAACTCGGCAAACTAAAAAAAT